GGGAGAACAACATGAAAATACATAGAGACAGCTGAGCAGTGGTAGTTCCTATCCCTGACCCACATGCTAATTACAAGGTGCAGATGCCAAGTCTCAGGGCTGGTCTTGCACAACTCACTCGCCTGACCCCAAACCACAGCCCAAAGGCCTCCAGAGCCCTATCTTGAATGATGAGTGACGAAGTGGGACTTGGGGAACCATTCAGACACTAACCCATATGTCATGACCGATAGATACTGATCAGATTTCAACTACTTCATCCCCTCCATCCTCCAGGGTTGCTCCACCCTCAGTCCCCTGCTCCCCTTAGCTCTCTTGCTTCAGAGAGGATGAGATGGCAGCAGTTCTCCTGACCCAGTTATCCTGGGGGCTGGGGGCTGTCCTCACTCCCTTCACCCGCAGCCCACCGACAGGCTGCTCCTCATGTGTACCTCTTCTCCACCATGAGAAGCCAGGAAAATATGATGAATGTCTGAAAAGGCAGTTAGCCCCCACCCCACCCTACCTTCCTCACCACCCAGGAGGAAATGAATGACAGGAGAAAACAGCCCCAGGATCGCTGAGGCTTGATCCAGAATGACGGCTAAGTGTCCACTCCAATTACTGAATCTAGGAGATTAATGGTGACAGCTTGCTGCCAGGGTAGCAGCCCGGGGCAGACACTTCCTGGTCAACTTCATGCCAACATGCCATGGCTGAGGGCCTCAGCAGCCAAATATCAGGGCAGAAACACCAGGAAACAGCACCTGGGGAGGAGGAGGGTGTCAGAGGCTAGCAAGCTGCCTCTCCTGACCACAGCCCCATCTCCTGTAGGGAAAGAACAAGAGGACCCACCCACCTTCACGAAGCCTGAAGTTCTACTGACTGCAGCCTGCCCTGACCTCTCCCCTCAATTGTTTTCATGTACACCGGTCCTTCTCCAACTTTGGTGCACAACAGAATCTCCTGGGGAGCTTGTTTTAAAAGGCCCAGGCTCAAGCCTCACCCAAAAAAACACTAAATCACAATCAAGTGGAATGTGGGCAGAGCAAGTCCATTTTTTTTAATGTTCCCAAGTGATCCCTAAATAGGCCTAAGTTTGAGAACTGGTCTACATGACAAAATCTAGCCCTGGATTCTGTATTGGAGTTATTTTTCTGTGAGTTTAAGTCTCTTCTGACTATATTTTCAGCACATTGAGAACATGACTAGAATCCTATTCCTCTACACAGCAGACTCCTCAATTTTTTTAATAAAAGCACTATTTACATGGTGGCTAAGTTCCCAAACCAATCCATGAATGCCTGCTACACTCATGGAGCACAACTTCTATCCACCACTGGCAAACCATGCTTCTGTGGGAGGCTTGCTCATGTTTGAAACTTGGATGTCATTTACTTGGCAGTTCTCATGACCTGAGGCAGGGTTCCTGTGGGACAGGAATCAGG